CCTTGTCTTTCTTCAATTATTAATCTTGAGGATGTAAAGTGTGGGTGTCCATATCGGTATACATAATAAGTAGCTCACCCACACCCTCGAGATAAACATTGTGCGTACAAAACAATTCCCTTCAATTAAACATAATCAATTATTCCTATCTTCATCAGTTCTTTCAATTTATCAAGTAAATTAATTTTAGTTTATGTTAATCTCGTCTTCGCAATAGACAATATAATTTAAAAACATTTTTTCTTCTTTATTGAATTCCGATGTAGTAACAGAATAATCTAAAAAACATTTTTTTTACATAATTAGAAATAATAAATAGATTGGTAGATATTAGAGTTATCTGTATTTATTATTTTAGTAATCAGAAGTTGCTTAGATCATAATAATAAGTAATAATATAATCGAAATGTACATCGCAGCTATTCAGATAAACTTTTGTGTTACAATGTAGTGCTTAAAAAGGATTTTGCCTCGACGATCATTGTCAGAATTGTGTTCAAAAAATATTACAAGAGGTTCCAATAAGAGCCCGAATATTTTGACTGTATACTGGACACGTCTTAGTTTTTTGAGTCAGTGATGTTTTTTCTGAAATTTGAATAAAATATCAAGTTTTTGAGCAGAAGATGCAGAGTATGAGTTCGAAACAGAAGACAGTAACACTGACAGATAACATCAGACTTATATTTCACTGAGAGTGAAATTATGGAGGATTTAGCCAAACCTCTCTTAATTCTAACGGATCCTAAGTGAACTAGAAGAATTGTTTTGGATCATAACAGATCTTTGTGAATTTTAGTAGATCATAACAGACTCAGCAATATTCTAGTAAACTCTACAGGACTCAGAAAGATTCAATTACACTTGGTGTAGTCTTGAAAAATGATAATAGACTATGATGGACTCTCACAGAGCCATCTTAACATTTATTGAGCCCGAGAACATGTCAAAAAGTTAGATATACTCACATCTTGAGGGTGTGGGTGTGGGTGTACGTGTTGGTTTATGCGACATATATAAGATACACCCACACCCTAAAATAAAATCCAAGCGGGAAGAGGAGTGGATGGGAATTGAGTTTTTATAATGCTTATTTATCGAAGATTATGAATAATTACGAACGAATGTCGGTGATTGCTGATAGAATATATAATTTAATTCAACTTCAAAATGACTTTTCTCTCTTAATACTGCGTGCTAAACATATTGTTCAGCTAAACCAAAATAAAAACAATTGCGCTACAATAACAAACAAATGCCGTATATACTTGAATTTTTATTCTTTACAGCGGACATATTGCAATGTTGTCTGTATTATGTAAAAGGAGACTTGTAATAATTCTAGATTAGTTGGAGAGTGTGATATTCTGCTTTCATAACGGTGCAGCAAATCTTTACGAAAATATGATTACTTAATGCGAAAACTACTCAGTCAATCAGATCTTAGCACAATTTTTCTCTTATATTATGAGTGTACAAAATCGCTATATTACTACCAATCGGAATAGTGAAAAGTCATCTTTTGTATAGACCAAACTATAGCACGTTTTTTCCTGGAAATCACGATGAAACTGCTTAAAAACACTTCATTGTTCATTGTTAACAATTGCTTATGAATGTTAATGAGTTCCAAAGAATACTTTGATTGCAATCATTTTTTCTCTTTGATATGATCAAAAGTTCATGGTACCACAATCAACAAGGAAAACTTTGCTTTTTATGCTTTTTTTCAAACTAAAGCCTCTTGATTAAAAAAATAATTTTACACATTTACCAGTTCTTTTCATATTCATAAACATACAAGAAATTAAAGGGTATATATTATCTAATAAAAGCCAGGCAGTAGCTCTTGAATATCTAAAAAAGATCTCCTGATAAACTCATGACTTTTTCTCTCAAATCCCTGATTTTTAAAATTACGATTTAGCAAGCCTGACACAAACCCACAAGGTGTTCCATTCTCTAAAAAAAATATTACAAAAAGTTTTTTTTTAAACTGACTCCAGATTCAAATTCTTCGGCCTCGATTACCCTTTGGTCAATCCTTATAATAGGAAAGGATTATAAGTTTTTATCAACCAATAAGAGTGAACGAACGGACAGACTTCAACTCGTTTTCTGTGTGATATCTGCTCGATGTATAACCCTCCTTTCATCAGTAGTGGAAACTACACTCCTCAAAATTCTGTTATATCATAACGTACAACAATAGCGGATAAGTTGATTAATTTTATAATTAATGTTACGTATCAAAGTCTCCCGAATTTTCACAATCTACTCCTAAAACTATTTCTTCATATAACAAACACTCTGTATGTAACAAAGTAATAATATTATCTTTCCATTTGATTCCATTTAATTTTGGTTTTACTTGATTTTCATTTGATATGTTTTTAGATCTTAATTTAATTTATTTTATTTTGAATTTAATTCAAGTTAAGCTTTAAAGCCATCTGATGAGTCCCTTGAACAAAGACGAAAGTGGTTATGGCAGTTCTTCACGCCCATAACTATACCCTCACTTGATAAGAATAGTATATTCAAAAGGTAACATATTGTCGTGGGTACTACGTCAAACCCAACCGCTCACCTTCTAAAAAAGAACTTTATTTATAAATGTGTGGTTCACGTTTAAGGGATCTAGACTGACTTCAGTCACCAATATAATCGTAGGCCGAATAACGAACTAGATAGTCGGGATCAACAGACTATCACGAGAAAACTCATTCTGAAAAATGCCTACCTTGCCTTGAGTGAGTAGATGAATGGAAGATGAGGATGAATATAATAAATTTATTGATGACAATTAATAAATATAACAAAGAATAACACAAGCAATAATAACGAGGAGGATCAGAAGAGACGAAAAAAACAACAACTGAATATATATGCGATCACTCGAACCACACATAGGAAAGAAAGAAAAGAAACAGTATACTGAAAAGCTAAAAAAAACTTGAATCAATAACTTGCTTGTGTAAAAGTGCTTTGTGGCTAGAATAAATGAATAGGTATAGCTAGATAGTTTTAGAAACGTACGACGTATTAGACAAAAAAATACTGTTCATATAGTTTCATCAGGGATTAGCAAGTCCAGAAACCTCTGCGACACTGAGTTCACGTGAGTAGACACGAAATTCATCTAAATAGCCATAAAATGGACCTCTTGTAATTGACTGTGGATCACAATAGCCACTAATTAGTGCGTTGCCCAATGTCAGGGTAACTGGTGTATTTGGTGCATTATTGGTCTGTGCACCTGTATTTCCAACAGATACTCCATTAACATACAATGTAAGCCCATGCGTTTGTGAATAGGTAGTGGCAATATGCGTCCATGTGAGGACCGATAGAACAGGACCTGTTACATAGGTATCTGGAGAAAAAGCATTGGCAACTATATTACCAGAAGAGGAAAATCCTAATGGAGTAGTACACCATCCTTGTGTACCTGTTTGGTCCACGTATTCAACAAGAGTTCCTCCACCTGTCGACGTTCGTTGTACCCATAGTGACATTGAAAATGAACTGCTTGCGATTCCAAGAAGAACATATCCAGGTATCTAAATGATTATTATATATTACATGGCCGTATCATAGTTTGGGATGTTTTTTGAACTTCTTTATACTACTTTCTTCAGCAAATAATCTATGATTAGTTTATTAGAGAAAATTTCTAGAAACTTCTAACGAGCCTCCGGTTATCGATGTCATTTTGACAAAAATGCTAGTAAACATAATTTCTTCCTTTGGAGATATCTTCACAACAGTATTTTACAAACGTGCACATAGAAGTTTGTTATAAAATATATGGCAACAGTATTTCAGTTACCTATGAATCAATGAAACGACGTATATTACTTTGTTCGCTTATCTTGATCATTCTTATGTATGACATACAATATACTTTTATATTCCAATCGTATGTATTTAACCCTTAAAAGTCGAAGAATTTTTCATTCGCAACAAGAAGGAGCTAACCACAAAAACAGAAATTACGAATCCTCAATATGCGGATATTAAGTTAAAAAGAAATAACTGTTATTGTTGAAAATTTGAAAACGTTAAATATCGTTAGAACTGCGTGTATGGCCAAAATTTAAATTAAAATCTCTTTGTTTCGTTTTTCCTGTGCAACTATATATTCTATCGGAAGAAAACGTTTTTCTTGATGGCATAATTTGCTAGTATGTTAATTAAAAAATTCATAGAATGGCATCATTAGATACTTTTATAGTATGTTTAAGTATTCCATAAAAGAAACAGGACTACACGTACTATTTAAGAGTAAAATAAAACTTTAAAAAAATCATTGGCCATAAAGAATCTGTTTTTCTGGCTATTAGTCAGTTGAAAATTTTATTTTGATCTCGATATGTTCTTCAAGATCATTTTTACTAGGAAAATATTTGTTTCTATATATGAGACTTCCTCATGGTTTTTATTACAATTATTCAAATGTCTTCAGAAGAGAAGATTCGGATTTTTGAGCGGTAAGGCTCTAGTATAGAAAATGTATCAATTCCTCTATATCAGATTTTCTGATTCGTACAATATTAATAGTGAAAAGCTCAACTAAGTCGGCGACGTACCTGATAATAAGACGACGACGAATTAAAGCTTAATCCTTGATTCACTCTACCAGATGCTAATATAACATTATTAGCTGTTCCATTGATTCTATTTGGACCTGAATCATAAGATATTCCACAATCAAATGAATGCCATGAGGCCAAGGTAGCATCTGAAAGAATATTACTTGCACTTCTAGCGTTCATGTAGAGCGCAACTTGATCAATATAACTAAATATACAAGAATAATATATAATCAAAAAATAAATCAATTAGTTACACCTGTATGCAACTCATAGGTTCTTCAAAAAATGAACTGAAAAAGTAGGGATAAAGATGAAATTTGCATTAACATATAGCAATTATGAGTATTTTTGATAACTTAATTTATGGTGTCGAAGATAGAATAAACAATAGTTCTAACGCTGGGCGTTTTAAATTCAACTAAATGTACAAAACTAATGATCTAACTCTTTTTCCTTACCCGTCGAATGGGTGATTGCTACCATCATAAAAGTTTCCAATATATATAGAACCACTTGCACCTAAATATGGTCCGGCTGAGCTATGACTGACATCTTGAACTCCGTTTATATAAATGATCTGTGTTCGAGATGAATAATCGTAAACAAAAGCCACGTGATACCAAGTGTTTGCCGACAATGTAGTTCCACTATTGGCATCATCAGCATAAAAACTCATCCTAAATTGTGCATCAATAACTGTAAGTAAAAAATCATGATCTGCAGTCGGTGCTGCATATTGATTGAAAAGCCCATAAGCACTACTGGTTAATGTAGTACAATAAATCCACATTTCTACTGTAAAACTGGTAGAAACAAAACTTTGATAGGTTGGTATTGATATGTATTGACTACTACTACTGATGAGCTTCAAAGCGTATCCACTACCGGTGATGCCAGGTGTTACATAAGTAGGTGAATTGACACCTGTTCCACTAAGATTTGATATGCTATCAGCAGCATTATTTTCCATTGCCCAGTAACTACGAGCATCGTATGGGTACGTGACTATTTCAAAATAAAAAGTAATCAATAATATTAACAAGCATTTTGTACTTTTAAATTCGCAGTTACAGAAATCTGTTTTACAATTGAAATAAACTAAGGAGTTCTATACTACTGAAAATTTTGGCTTTTGCTTTGTGGTGGAATAATGGACGCTAGTGGAGTTTCATCAAAATTTATATGAGCGGTAAGTATGGAAAAACTGCACCCAAAATCGATTCCGAGTATTCGAGTTTGATGAATGTCTAGTGCTTATGTTTAGGCTCATGTAGATACGTCACACTATGCTCTATAATTTGTTAAATATTGCATTTATTGTTGCTGTAATCAGTCGTTCTTCTAGAAGTAGTGATTATAGCAACATTTGATATACAATTGAATTATCTGAAAGCTTTCTAAGGTTTCAAAAACCGTTTAGGTAGGCTTAGTAGTCTTGATATTATGAAAAGTTTCGAAGTTTTATGGAGTTTGAAAAACTTTAATCCATTTTGGAAATTGTTATAGTACATACTATGATAACTATCTTTTTCATGATCTTTAAGTATATCAGATGGTAACAAAATCAGAAACTCTGAAACATTCCAATAGTATCGTATTTTCGAGTGTATAGTTTTGTAATCTCTTGTAGTTTATATCGTTATGAATATTTTAAGTATAGCATCACTATTTATCAACCAAATTTATACAGTGTATTCACTAAAATAATCACTTCGTTTAGCTGCTTCTGAGATTAATATTCTTTCCTACCCTGCATGCATGGCGCAGTAGTTGTTGTTGTTGTTGTAGTTGACGTTGTAGATGATGTTGTGGTTGACGTTGTAGTTGATGTTGTGGTTGTTGTTGATGTTGTAGTTGTTGTTGTAGTCGTTGATGTTGTGGTTGACGTTGATGTTGTCGTAGTGGGTTCTATATTACAGACATAAGGTCAGAATGAGACTAAACAAATGGTTATGGGTCTACTCCTAGTTTGTTACTTCTTCTTCTTCTGTAATTATTATATCTACTATAAATATGAGTACATTAGGAGTGAATAGTAAATCTTTAGATGGCTTACATTATAATTGGTGGCGGTGCCAAGGGTGGGCTGGGGTGTGCTCAGCTTACCCTGAAATTTTTTTCAGATCTCGAAAAAACCAATGATATTCTATCTGAGCCCACCTTATTTGAACTTTACTGGGCCTGAGCCTACCCTGTTTGAAATTTATTAAGCCTGAGCCCACTCTAGTCAAGATTCCTGGCGCCGCCGCTAATTATAATTGTACTTCTACAATCTTCACTTTAAAAGAAGAAGAAGAATACCCCGCCTCTCGACTACATTTCAGTATAGGGTGAGGTCCAAGAACATTTTCTTTAGTCCGATATCTTCCCTACGACTATTTCTAGCTGCAACTCTGGTCAGAAGGCTGGCCTGTCGTACAGTTCCTCTCGCTCAATGACTTGAGCTCTCCATACACACTGAGTAAGCACATACCAGCTACAAGAACTATACGGTATGTCAATAATGTAATCGGTGTGCTATCGGATGGGTGGCTTTCGTGGAGTTCTGCGAGGCTCGCTAGGATGCCGCAGCTCTAGTGAGGTTCTACAAGCTCTGGAAAACTTGGACGCTACTAGGAGGATCTGCAAGGCTCTGCAGGATGTGGTAGCTTCTGGGAGATTCTGCAAGGCTCTGCGAAACGGAAAGGCTTCTAGGAAGTTCTGGAAGGCTTTGTAGGATGCGGTAGTTTCTGAGAAATTCTGCAGACCTCTGCAAACCGTCGAGGCTTCTGGAAATTCCTGCAAAGCACTGTAGGACGAGACAGCTCCCATGAGGTTCTGTGAGGCTCTGCAAAACGTGGAGGCTTCTGAAAAGTGCTGCAAGGCACGAAAAGATGTGGTAGCTTTTGAGAGGTTCTACGATGGTCTGAAAAGCGTGGAAGGTTCTAGAAACTCCTGTGAGACTCTGCGGGACGTGACTGCTTCTGGGAAGTTCTGCAAGGTCCTGTGGGATGTAGCAGCTTCTGAGAGGTTCTCCGAGACTCTACAAAACGTGGAGGCTTCTGGGAAATCCTGCAACCTTTTGTAGAATGTAGCAACTCGCATGCGGTTCTGCAAGGATCCGTGGAATGCGACAGCTTCGGTATGGTTCTGTGATGTCCTGCAGAAGGTAGCAGCTTCTGAGGGGTTCTGTAGTTCCTTTATCCAACATTGCATGTCTTGCCAGGTTCTATGGTTGTTCAATGAAAATATAGAAAATGCACAACTTAAACGAGATGTAAAATACTCAGAATGAAAATGTTCTACCATTTTGAATAATTCTTAAAAGCTATGCACCAAAATATATGTCTAGATTTCTTAGAAAATGTTTTGACTAGAACGGCTTTTTCTACAACAGTCAAAGTAAAAGATTGTCTCATACTTGAGACATATATGCTGCACTTACTATACCTACATAATTTCATCGATACCTCTGTGGATCTTCTTTTATCAGATGTGCTATCAACAATACTTTTAAAATGATTTCTTTCTAAATCTACTTTATTCATACTTACCAGGTGGAGATCGTGATCCAGCAACAACAATCATAGTAGTAATGTCGGTATCAGGCAACATATGTGCAATTTCATTTGACATATCAGTAAATAATTCACAATTAGAATTTGATCGCTGAAAACTAGCTGCTCTACAATAAACTTGAGCTAAACAAGCCATTTGACATTTCATAATAGTCGACGTAATCATATTAGCGAACGGTAAACAACTTGGAGTAGTACATGAAAATTTCTGACCACGCATTAAAGATATTCGGACTGATCGCATATCGTCTCCAACGGATTGTGTAATAATTAAGAATAAAAACCATAAACAAATTCTTCTTGAAGCCATCACTAACTAGACTGCAAGTTAATAAACTGAGTTTGACTGAGAATAAAAGAAAAAAATCTGTTGAACAATAAACACTATTTTCTTTTCTTTTTTTCTCACTCTTTTTCCGTTGCCAATGTAGCGTATGCTTCTCTTTTTTCTTATTATATTTCATCTATCTAATGGAGAAACTAGCCATGACTTGTATTTTATTTTGTAAAAACAAATATCCATTTGGAAAGACGCTTTTTCCTTGTTGATATGTTACTTAGAGACAAATATATTCACAAACAGAACAGTTTTTATTATATGGAAAATGATTAAAGATGAAAAGCATATTGAACGATCGGCTCATAAAAATCAGATTTGAAAAGCAAAATAATCAAGATTTAGTCACAAATGAAATTTTTCTTATAAAAATAAAAATAAATTAACTCATTTTGTTCGTATATTAATTAGATTTGGATATTTCAATTGACTCTAACACGAAGTATTCCATTCTTCATTTTTTAGTCGATCAAAGAATTTTATGGGATGTGTTTCAATACGTAGTCGCATTTTTCTTTTATCAATGGGAAAATGATCCAAATAGTTAGGATTCATATCTATTTATGATAATACAAATGCAAGATAAAATGTCTTGTTTATTAGATGCATAAAAAACAAACAATTCTTTTTCAGTATTCTAAAATGAGTTTAATGATTGTTTATCATAACAAC